ATAAGCTCTAACACTGATGAAGAGCAAATCTTTACTATAGCAGGAGACTTTGCCGGAGGGGGTCTAACCATTTGGGGTACCAAGGACAACATCAGAAAGCTGGAGGTCAACTCAGTGGATGAGGGCTAGGCGTCGAAAGACACCTTCCCTGAGGTCATCATCTCTGAGAAAGACCGGGGCAAGGTCAGACGGCCTCATGATGACCTCATACTCATCGAATGCAAGGTTGCCAACCAACGAGTGGGTCGGATCCTTATTGATACCGGGAGCTCATCTGATCTTATAAGCTATCGGTGTTTGGCGAACCTCAAGTACAAGCCTAGCAGCATGCACAAAGTCTCTCACCCCATAGTTGGTTTTGGGGGAGGGGTATTGCATCCGGTGGGAAGGATTGACCTACCAATCCGGCTAGGAGAAAAGGGGGAGGGATGGCACATGGTCGTCAAGTTCTTGGTGGTCGAGGAATTGACCGCCTATTATCTGATTTTGGGCCTTCTAACCCTCAACGAGTCCAAGGCAGTCATCGTCCCATCCCTCATGCTGATCAAATTTGAGAGGGATGATGGGTGAGTGGGTTCCCTGAATGGATATCAGAAGACGACAAGGGAGTGATATCTCTCAGACGTCAAGCCTACTGTGGCCGCAGTCGGCTAAGGCGCGGAGCCCATTGACATTGATGACTTCAAGGAAGCCGCGCCTGCTCCGAAAGCAGCAAGCAAAAAGAGAAAGGCGGACCACTTGGTGGCCGTAAAAAAAGAGAAGCAATAACAATCACTGATCGAGGAACGGTCAGATGATCTCCGTCCCCAGCCGGCTGGTGAAAATATTGACATTGTTCTAGATGACAGCCGTCCAAAACGAACCGTTAAAGTGGGGACAGTTGCTTTTGCCAAGTTGGGCGCAGATTTGCACCAACTGCTGAAAGAATTCAAAGGCATTTTTGCCTTTGAAGTGGAAGAGATGCCAGGCGTCAGCCCGAATCTTGCTGTCCACAAACTCGCCGTGGATCCAAAAAAGAAGCCGGTTAGGCAAAAGAAGAGGAACCACGGCGAGGAAAGATCTCAGGCGGCAGCCACCGAGGTCAAGAAGCTGCCGGATGCCGGGTTCATTCGGCAATGCTACTACCCAGATTGGGTAGCAAACGTTGTCCTTGTTAAAAAGCCGAATGGTACCTGGCGGATGTGTGTTGATTACACAGATCTGAACAAGGCATGTCCAAAGAATAGCTATCCAATTCTAAAGATCGACAGTCTGGTCGACTCTACAGCCGGTTATGCCTTGATGAGCTTCATGGACGCCTATTCAGGCTTCCATCAGATACCCTTGTGGAAAAAAAGATCAAGAGAAAACAACATTCGTCACTGATCAAGGGTTATTCTGTTATACGGCGATGCCGTTTGGGCTGAAAAATGCGCCTGCTACCTTCCAGCGAATGATTAATACAGCCTTCATTAATCAAATTGTGAGGAATGTAGAGGCGTACATTGATGACATGATAATCAAATCTGAGGAACAGACAAATCACCTTGCTGACCTCCGAGAAACCTTCACCACCCTCAGGCGACATAAGGTCATGCTTAATACCAAAAAGTGTGTCTTTGGTGTTGATTCTGGGAAGTTTCTCGGATTTTTGATTGATCTAAGGGGGATAGAGGCCAACCCGGAAAAGGTACAGGCGGTAATTGACATGAAGTCACCTCGCACTGTCAAGGAAGTTCAAAAACTAACCGGTTGTCTGGCGGCATTGGGGAGATTCCTCAGCTAGTCAGGCGACAAGTGCCTTTACTTCTTCCAGGCAATAAAAAAGATGACTAGATTCGAATGGGGGGAAAATGCTGAAGCGACATTCCAAAAATTGGAAGAGCACCTCCACTCATTGCCACGGCTGGTCAGCCCTCTAGCAGGAGAGGTTCTCTATATGTACTTGGCCGTCTCAGATCATGCCCTCAGTGCCGTTCTCCTAGCTGAGAGAGACGACATTCAGCTCTCGGTCTATTTCATTAGCCATGTTCTTCGAAATGCTGAGCTGCGGTACCCCTTGGTTGAAAAATTTGGCCTTGCCCTGTTCATGGAAATTAAGAAGTTGAAACCATACTTCTTGGCACATCCGGTGGTGGTCTACACAAACCAACCCCTCAAGCAGCCAATGACAACCTTGGAGTCATCCGGCAGAATGCTCAAGTGGGCTATTGAAATGTAAAGTCTGGAAATCACCTTCGAACCAAGAAAGGCAGTGAAGGGTCAGGCGTTCGCCGACTTCATTGTGGAAATGACAAGGCCGGCTCAGTCGGACAATGTTGATCAGGTTTGGAAGGTATATGTAGACGGGAGCTCTACGATGAACGGCTGTGGTGCAGGTGTAATTTGCAAGTCTCCGGAAGGGGACAAGTATGAATACGCACTACAGATCAAGTTTTAAGCCTCGAATAATGAGGCGGAGTATGAGGCCCTGCTTGCCGATATCCGCATGTGTAAGGCGGCAGGGGCAAGGAAAGTTGACGCCTGATTTGATTCGCAGTTGATCATCAGCCAATACCATGGTGACTACGAGGCCACCCATCTGGCTATGATCAAATATCTGCAGGCGGTCAAAGACGAGGCCGGGACACTTGACGAATTTCATCTAAGTCAGGTGCCCAAGTCAGAAAATAACCAGGCAGATGCACTGTCTAAGTTGGCATCATCCACTACTACATTTTTAATCAAATGCAACGGCTAAAAAGAGCTAGTGCAACGGCTCATTTTATTGTCGTTGCATTAGATAAGCCAAAACAACGACATAAACTTTGTACATCAAAAGGTGGAGCTAACGCAACGGCTTTAAGAAGCCGTTGCATTAGGTGTACTAATACAACGACCTGAAAGGCTATTGCCACGGCAGTTCACTCCGTATGAAAATGCGCTTAATTAATTAGTTCACTCTCCTCAGATCTCACCACCTCAGTTCTCACTCCTCTCTCTGTCTCCCCTTCTCCTTATTCTCTTCCTCCAAGACGAAGGAAACCATCACCGCAGCCGCAACCACATCCACAACCATCGTCGCTCACAAAATTAAATTCTCTCTCTTTCTTCATCCTCCTCATTCACTGATGGTCACGGTGGTGATGGTGGTCGCGAGTGATAACGACGATGCGGTTCGATTTTTAGGGTTTTGATTGGTGTTCATGGTATGAGCTTCTTCAAACTTTCCTCTTTAAATTTCAAATTTAGGGTTCCTTTGCATAATTACTAGTTAAAATTTTTGATTTTTTTCGATTTCTAGGGTTTTGATTTGCTAATTGTTGGACCTGGTGTTCTTGGTCGCTTGGTAGCTCAATAATGGAGTCAGGTATAATCGCTATTTCTATTGCATTTCTACCTCTATATCTTTCGTTTGTAAAACAGTTTAATTCCTCGAGAACTGCCAGGTTAAATTTCTTTCATTTGGGTTTCTCGCCTTTCTGTTCTTGTTCCTTCTATTATCTTTAATTTCTGATTTTTAGTAGTTTTTGTTATAAATTTTTGATCATATTGTTAGTATTTGGTTTGCTTATTGGAAAATTGTAAGATTTTTAACTTGCAAATAAGTGTGCTTTGGCTGTTTTGTTAGTTATGGTAATGCAAATGTTATGGTATAGGTAATGATAGTAGATTACTATAGTTGGTGTTATAATGTCTAGTAACTGGTGCTTATAGACGGTTCATGTTGGAATTGGTTAAGGGCATTGTGTTTCGTTTGGGTGAGATAGAGCAAAATAGTATATTAATGCTTTGGAAATGAGCATGGTTACTGCTTATTAGTATATTACAATTTGGAAAAGCTGAACTATGTGTTTGGGGAATGGGGTGCAATGGGATTGGGGTCTTGATAGAAATTCCGTATGAGACAAGTGCGTTATGTTTTGGAGTCAGGTATAATCGCTATTTCTATTGCATTTTGGCTTGATTAACAATACTTTGGTACCGAATTGTGTACCGTACCCAAACTTGTAGTGGGCTACTGAGTATTGGCATATTTGATGACAGTTTTAGTAACTATGTTTATTTAATCACATATATTTCTTGGATAATAGATGTTCATCTTATGCAAATATTTGTCATTATATATAATACGGAGTACCAAGTATATACGCTATAGCCTTTCTATTATACATCCGGGTTTATAATATGGTTCGAATGTACTTAGTTTACGTAAACTCGGGTAGTCTGGTGTATATAGACAACGTATGTACTCAATTATTTAGTGTTTGGAGGTTGATGAATCTCTTTTGACCGTTGCAGCTGTCTTGGTCTTGGAATATCTATGGCTGCACAAAGTTGAACTGCAAATGATATATACCTTAGAAAGTAGAAACATTCAACGAAACTGATATTCTATATATATAAAAAGAATTAATGTCGTCCTTGGTCATTACTTCTTACTTTGTGGGATATATGCTCATTTTCTTTACTTTTGCTGGGGCTGAAATGCATTATGAAACAATTAGCTAGGTACCTTTTTTTTAAAAAAAAATGAAATATGGATAGTAATATACTTTATCTTTTTCTTTTTTTTTTTTTTTTTTTTTTTTTTTTGTGAAAAGGTAAGAAAAATTAATCATTAGGAAGCCCTTCCAAAAACGAGGGAAATTTCTAATGTAATATATTCGTAATGTTTGTTTATAGGATACCCTAATTCAATCCATTTCAAAAATCATTATTGTTATTGTGTAACTCCCATTATCTAATCTCACGGTAACAATACATCATAGTCAATAATGTCAATCATCAATAATTAATTTTTTTTTTTTTTTGTTTTGTTTTGGGTTCATATCAATGAGGTACCTCTGAACTTATGTGAGAATAATGTCGTTAATCCAATGCTTGCTCTGGCTGGGAAAATTCTGGGTAATGATGAATCCCTTCTAGGATCAATTAGATGCTTGGTTAGAGTAAAACTCCACATTCATGTTTGTATTGGCTGGATCTAGCTGAAAACAAGCTTAGTGGAACATTACCTGTCTCAAATGGGACTAAACCAAGTCTTGAAATGCTGCATAGTTGTAAGCACTTGTATGTCTGACGCATTTATTTTTTGATTTGAAAATTTCTTGAATTCTTTATCGAATTTCACCATTATTGTATTGCCCTCTTTCAATCTTTTAATTTTCAATTTCTTGTTGTTTGTCTATTGATTGCCACTTTGCCAGTCACTTTGGAAGATATCAACTCTCTGGCTCAATTCCACCTCAGCTACTCCATGAAAATATGACACTTGCTTATTCATTTGTAAGTACCCTGAAAGAAATTTAATAAGATATAGATGTTGTCATTGACATATATTCACCGGTAACACTGCAAATTTGAATGAATACTGTTCTTTTTTTTTTTTTTTTTAAATTTTGATTGTTATATGCAGTGGTTTTTGTTAATTGTATAACTAATTTATAATAAATTTGTTGTCTTGATTGTTATTTGTTAATTTTAATATTCATCAGAATTTTTTGATGAAAGTTGCAGTTTCTGGTATTTTTCGTGATTTACTGTCGAGTTTTGAGTCTATTTGATCAGCTCGTTGTCCTATAGCTTGCGAATTCTATGGGATTATAATGATATAAGTACCTAATTCTTCCTTATTATCTGGATGTCAACCTTTTATCTCTTTCCTCCTAATCTTTTTATTTATTTATTTAACCAAGGTGTATCTCATTATCTAAATAAGATATAAAAAAAATTACAATTATTCATCTCTTGAAGCTTGGTATGCCCATAGGGTTGCTGAAGTCATTTTGAGTAAGAGGGGAAGGGAGGGAGGTGATTCCCTCATTTGCCTAAAAATTTGTTAGTGTAAGTTTTAATATGTTAGACCCTTAAAATTTATTTTTGGATTATTTTATAGCTTTGATTTGATTCGCACGGTCTAATGTCGATTTTTATTCATTTATGCATGATTTTGTGAATTAATTTGAGTGATAGGTGGTATTATAATACGAAGATAAAGCTTGACAAATACAATTTATCACTTTGAAGTACTTTGCTTGGTTTTGTATAATTTTGTTGCATGTATAGTAGTTATCCTACTCAATTCTGATTAAGGGATTTTTTTTTTTTTTTTTTTTGGTTTATTCTCCTGTTTTATTATCTATATATTAAAAGAGCATTAGGATATTTGATTTTGTATACATGGCTAACTTTAAGTTTAATTGATTTTGGCAAGCTTAAATTGACAAATGTACATAATGAAGCTTGGAAAACAGTGACAAGATATATAAACAATAAAAAACAATCTCAGGTCAATATCAAAATGTGACTTCTTTAAGCTTTTGTGCTACTGCAATGTTGGGATGTTTATGTTGGTTGTTATGTTGCTTTTGATAACTATAGGACATCTAGTGCTCTAAATTTGTCTTTATTTTGATCCAAACACCCAATTTTGTTGGTAAAAAATGGTTAAAGGGAGAGTAGACTTAGTTGCTGTTCTTCTGAAGATATTGCATTCTTGAAAGTCTGTTAAATAGGGGAAATTGATGTGAAAGGGAGGGGGGTTGTTTTTACTCGTTGTATGGATAGCTGGGTGCCCTGGTTTATTGTTTTTTAGATGTGTTTGGTGTGTGCCCTCCTTATTTGGCTTATGGTTGCTGTTGGTTGTCGCTTCTAGTTTGGTTTTAGTGTTGGATCTGATAGTGGCAGATCAGCAGCTCTGGTTTAGGGTTCTACTTGCTTGCAGCCTGTTTTGTGCCTGTTGTGTTTTTGTTTGGTTTTGGGTTGCCTGCTGCCTGTATTGGCTTCAGGGTGCTGCTGTTGTGGCCTGCGGTCTAACATGAGTATTATTGTATAGCTGAATTCTCCGTGCGTTTTGAACTTTTCTCATGTTGATTGTGGCCTTGATCTAGTGTTATTTATAATTTAGTTCTATTATATTTCTATTACTTTATTCTATTTTACGTGTAGGTGCATGGGGAGCTAAATGGAGCTGAAGCATAGTAACTAGCTAGTCATTTAACAAATGGTGCATATATGTTGGTGACTCTTATTCAAGCTCAACTTTGTGAAGATTTGGAAATTCCGGCTCATATATATGTTGAAAATTTGTATTTTGGAGGATTAAATTAATTATATAACTTTTATTTATTATTAGTAGGGTGTCATACAAAAAACAAGCAACTAATATTTTATAATGTACGTATTTAGCATTATAATTATTTTATATAAATTTAATGATATTTTGTTTCTTAGTATATTTAGATTTGTACTGACTATTTATACATATATTATATTACCGTACAATTAAAAAAAAAGATCAAATGATCAATCAGTTGCAGTAGATACGTACTCCATATATCATTTGTATTAATTAACTTCAGCCGTTGCAATAGGTGTTAATTTCATCACAATTAGTAGTAAGTAATCTATTGCAACGGATAATTTATACCGTGGCATTAGATGTAGAGCTATCGCAACGGATTATAGCTTCCGTGGTATTAGGTGTTGTATACCGTTGCAATAGACCTACTGCAACGCCAGCAAATGCCACGGTACATGGCCGTTGCATTAGGCCTATTGCCACGGAATTTGACGCCTAATGCAACGGATTTGGGGGTTGCAATAGGTCAAAAATGTAGTAGTGATCCGCCTCTTGTGATGCGCCTAGGTCAGTCTTTTGGGAAGTCATGGAAAAAAGAAGCATTGAACATGATCCCATTGGAATCATTGACCAAAGCTTTACCTGGATGGATGCCATCTGGGCTTACTTGGCAGACGACACTTTGCCCGATACCCCTTCAGAAGCGGCCACATTGAATAAGCGAGCCACAAGTTTTGAGATCTACAAGGGAGAACTCTTCAGGAAGGGTTACCTTCAGCCACTACTAAAATGTGTTACCCCTGAAAGGGGGAAAGAAGTTCTAGAGGATCTGCACTCGGGCTTTTGTGCATCACATATAGGCGGCAGAACTCTAGCAAAAAGGGCCAGGCAGTAAGGCTACTTTTGGCCCACTCTTGAGGCAGACGACATGGAAATGGTGAAGAAGTACGATAAGTGTCAAAGATACGGCTGGCTCATACACCGTCAGACTACTGATTTGACGGCCATCTACAACCCGGTTCCATTTGCAAAATGGGGCATGGACATCCTGGGTACATATACGCCTGCTACAGGCGGACGGAGGTATATCTTGGTGGCTGTAGATTATTCACCAAATGGGTTGAGGCAAAGGCGGTTAAGGGCTTTAAGAAAAAGGATGTCATCTATTTCATCTGGAGAGACATCATCACCTGGTTTGGGGTACCTATGTCTATGGTCTTTGACAATGGCCCTCAGTTTGAAACGCCTACCCTCAAGAGCTGGTTGGGAGACCAAGGGATCTCACATTGTTTTGCATCAGTCGGCCGTCCCCAAGCAAATGGCTAAGTTGAAGCCTTCAATAAGCTCATCTCACACGACATTAAAAAGAAAATTGAAAGGGCTGGCGGTCTATGGGCAGATGAGTTGCCTCATGTCCTATGGGCCATCAGAACAACTAAAAAAGGGGCAACCAATGAAACCCCGTTTCTCATGACATACGACACTGAAGCCGTCCTGCCCATTGAACATTGTGAGCCAACACTTCGAATCATGCTCTATGATGAAGATGCTAATTAGGAGGCCATGCGTCTAGCATTGGATTCACTCTAGAAGTGTAGGGGCAATGTCGTCTTGCGTCATGAGATATACCGTCTGAGAATGACGAGAGTCTACAATAGAAGAGTACACAAACGCCCCCTAAAAGTGGGGGACTTTGTGTTACGAAAAATGGAGGCAACCGGTAGGGCTAGTGAGAAAGGAAAATTAACCCCTAATTGGGAGGGTCCCTACCGGATTTTTGAAGAAGTTAGAGGCGGCACCTACCGCTTGGAAACTCCAAACGGGAGGCAGCTAGCCTGAACTTGGAATGTAGATAACTTGAAAAAGTACTACTTTTAAAGACTTGCAAATCTTAGTAAATAGAGTATATTAATAAAAAGAACATTGTCTTTTGTACAAAGTCCCATCCGTGCAATGCACAACTAGGCAACCGTCTGCTCTAAACTGAGTAGACATAGGCCAAGTATTAAACTTAGCAGCTATTTATAAGGCCAATGGCCGGATAGTTTTTGAACTGCCTGCTCCAACATGAGCAAGCAACTGGCGACGCCCATTTGTGTGAATTCGTCGAAGAGAGCATCTCCCATTTGGGTGGTACATTGTTCTGTAAATCATAACTCAAGCGGCTTTAACCGACTGTCTAGGTTAAAAGATAACTCACGGCCGTTTGAATAATCAATTGAAACCTATATACAACCGGTCGTTGCTTCAAAGCAACATAGACGGTAACTAAAATCTTTGTCGAATGTAACCGGTCTTTGCCCAAAGGCACTACAGCTGGTTACAAACCCAAATTAAGCAAGGTCAAAACCTTGGCAATTGATTCATAACCTGGTTATGATGCATACACCCGGCCAATGGCCGTCTGCATACTAACAAACGACAATGACGGATACCCAAAGGGTAATCCGCAGCCGGTTAAAAGAATAATCTAGGTTGTCCCTAGCCAGCACCGTCTGCTAATCCTACTTAGAATAATTCTACTTCTTTAAATACGGTCAATGACCGCCTATCTATCCATCCGAATGCTTGTTTGGGCGGCTGCCTGCTTAGAGTTGGGCAATATTAAGCAAACAACTGTCTAGGGGCAGGCAGAGCCAATGCATCCGGAATACCGCATGTACTAAGTCAAATTGCAAAATCGAAATAAAGAGCAAATTAGAAAAATTGCAAAAATTGAGGCAAATTATCAGACAAAACCGACTCAGTCGATAAGTTCTATTAATGAAAATGATTGTCAGCCAGACGTACGTCTGGGGAAAGTAGATACATCAAAAGTACACGGCTCGCAGGCCGGAGGTAGATAAGAAAAACAATCAAGTCACTGCTGCTGCTGATGCTGAGAAGTCTGGCCCTGGCCGGAAGGAGGAGCGTCTTGAGTTTGCTGGGCTTGAGCTTCGTTAGTCTCACCCGGCGCTCGTTCTTCCGCCTGCTCCTCCTCTTCTTCCTTGGCAATGCCGGCCCATTCCTCAAAGGGAGCCGGCTTCACTGTTTCGAGAACCTGGGCATCGAACACCTTAGTGGCGTACTTGTACCGCAGGTCAAAGAAAGCCCAGTCGGTGTCCGGGTGGATCAAAGACCAGGCCATCTTCATGCGCTCTTCACACTTGCGCTCATTCTCGGAGATCAGCCAGTCTTGCTCAGCTTCCAGCTTAGCTTTGTGATCCGCCTGAGTCTGGGCCAGCTCGTTCTTCAACCGGGAGACGTCTGCCCATAGCTCAACATTCTCCTTGTCAGCCTCCCCCAATGCTTTGACATCAGCTTGGAGGTTTTTAACTTGCAACTGAAATTTAGCCGCCTTCTTGTTGGTTGTCTCAACAGCAGTCGTGAGCTCCTTGATAAGCTCCTCCTGTTTCATCTCCTAGCTTTTAGTTTGTATTTCATACATTAAAGTATTGTATTGGGTAACATCTACGATATCGGCTGCCCTTCTATTGGCATCCCTTACCTCCTCCTGCTTCTTCCGCAAGGGGACCTTCATGCCGTCCACCCTTAGTATCACGTGCAAAGCCAGCCGGAAAGGGATTAGTCTTTAAATTATGCTACAACCGGCAAAAAAGTAAAATTGTACAAAAACACACCAACCGACCAATTACCTCAGCGAGCAGTGAGTTGATGCGGTCAATGTTGACCCGGTGCACACCCGGCACCGCCTCCTTTTCGGACCGGGTGAGGGTCCTTAGCATCCTCTTTGCGTACTATTGGAGGTCAGGCTAACGAGAAGAGGCATCTGCATCAACAGATTTATTCGTTAAGTATTGAGCATAGGTGGCACCTACATTCTGCCGGCTGCCTGAAGAATCCCCTGATTGGGTAGCTTGAGACTTGACTCGTATAGGCCCAAGCGGCCAGGGGGGATCAAAGGTGAGAGCCATACCTTCATTTCCAGGCTGAGGGGTCATCCCACCCCCAGCCGCATTGGAACCGAACGCTACAATAAGCAGCCGGCTTGAGGGAATTTCAGGCTCCCTCGTTTCAACCTCAGCCGGCCTTGTGCTTAGGCCAAGGTCTTTCAGGCTTTTGCCTGCTGAGGTGGGCCTCTCAGGCATAGGCGGCCTTCCAGAAGAGGCAGGGGCAGCCGGTACCCTCCTGGATTTAGAAGCAGGCTGGGAGGGCTCCTCTCCCGGTCTTTTTAACATCTTTGTTAAAGAACGAGGAACGTTCTTGCTCCCCGTCTGCAAAAGAAAACAAAACAGCCGGTCAATAACAGAGTTAACATCAAACCATGCAAACGGTAAAAGAGCTCAGCCGGCACTTACCCCATTATCCTTGGCCGCCAGTTGGGCTCTTTTCTTTTCCAATTGATCCTTCCGGATCTATGCAGTAGACTTAGCAGACGTCTTTTCAGGAGGCACCATCTCTAATCCTTTCTCTGCAAAGAAGAAAATCAAAAAGTCAAATGCCATTCAAGAATGATACAGGCGGCATAAAGTGTCGGTTATCAGTCAACGTACGTCTGCTAAACATTGTGCTAAGGCCGCAGGCGGAAAGGAACGCCTCGTCCTTTAGCCAGTCCGGATGAGGGACCCAGTTCTTGGGGTTAATGACTTCTGTCCCATCATCCAAAGGCAGGGAGGTCTTCTTAAAGAGCCCTGTCTCCATTATTTGTGTCCAAGCCTCTTTAGGTACTCTAGGAAGGGTGCATTTCTTTCCAAGGAGAGCCAGGTGTGTATTGTAGCGATACAGCCGGTGGTTATGACGCAACGATGGGGAAGAAACCAAGTAAAACTTTCTTTTCCAGCTGCTCCATTTTGACGGCTTGTCAAGCGTCATCATGTATTCCGGATGCGTGGTCAATGTATAGCACGCATTCCAGCCGCCTAGGTTATGGCTGAGGTAGTGCATATGTGCAAATGCCTCCCAGCTAGGCGTTATATCCTGCATCTCGCAGGCGGCTATAT